TTGCCAAATTTGAGGTCCCAAAGGTATCTGGGTAGTTTGGGGAATTTTGGGGGCAAAAGGCTAGGTTAGATATCTTAGTAGAGTTGGAGTACCAACCACCATTAATATGCCATGAACTAATAGAAACCTCATTTTGGGTCCTCTATGTAGTGATCTTAGCTAAACCCTAGCCTAAGGCTAATGGGTTTAGGGAACCACCTACAAGAGTCTCTTAAAAGTATTAAGGGACCAAAGCCTAGAAGTTCTAGGTTAAGGGTAATGAGTGATTGTGACTGCAAATAAGTGCCTTAGCCCTAAACCAACACTTAGGGTCAACCCTAAGGTCCAACAGTCCTAAGGGTGACTCATCTTGAGTTCCCCCCATAATGACCCCATGACCCCACCTACTAAGTGCTAGAGGTTAAGACCAATATGTGGAACTTCAAGTTGAGTAGAGAAGAGTTTGGAATTTCTAATGGTGAGGGTTCCATGTCTAGTTTTCTAAGAATAATCAATAGGAAAGTCCTACGGCTAGACCTTAGGCTACTAAAGAGGGAAAACTAAACCGCAACCAAAAGTAAGGTCAACAATATATCGAACAAACGTTCATAAATTTGCATACTGGATCAGTTTATTAACGCAAGGTAATGAACTTGCTGAGAAAAACGTCCTAGAAACATTAAAGAAAGTAAAAATCAAATCAGAGGCCATATTGAATGGGAGAAACCACCGGGAAATGCCAAAGTCAAAGAAGAAAAAGACACTGAATATACAACACAATTTGAATGACCTAATGAAAATGCAACCAAAAGGAATATCTGATGCAACGTTAAGAGGATATTGGGAGAAGAATAGGAGAGTAAAAAGTAAGCATTACCAATAATATTAATAAACTTGTCTTCACTACCAATAGTATTAATAAACCTAACACGAAACATTGTATTACAAGAAAGGACAAAGTTGTTGGTTTAAGTCAAGATATATTTCATCCATCCGACCCAAACCTATTTGCAATGTCAGATCGATATAGTCAGGTACATAACTTAAAATTTGAAATAATTTGTAATTTGTGAACTAATTTTGATTATACTTATTTACTTTATTCATTTGTTATCACCCAAAATCAACAGGAATTGCATGCATCACTGCCCACAGACACATATACGAGCTTATTGATGGACCTAAATGATATGTGAAATACCAAAAAACTGCAACGAATGAACGTAATGTGGTATTAATGTAGTGATGCAGTGTTACATGAAATACCAGGAAACCTCAATATTACGATGATATTCATGCAGAAACGAGTGGCATAAGCTAGTTGTGATTATATATTTTGTGAGTTCTTTAAGACTACGTTGAATAACCTGCATTGAATATTACCAAAATATTATCGTAATACAACCAGGATATAGTAGCGCTATATAAGGAATATATCCTGGTTTGATTGGAATATTCCTCTGCTGTATTCTCCTATGCGGTCTTATCTTGGTTGTTCTGAGGATATATTTATAATATTAAGTTGTTTTTATATATTTTATCATAAAATGTGTCAAATAAAAAGCAATAAGACCATATAATTATTATAATATTAACTAAATACGCTTGGAGTAATTTAGGATTGATTAAAATATTTTATGAGTATTTTTTAGCCAGCGTTGAATATTACCAAAATATTACCATAATACAATCAGGATATAGCAGCGCTCGATAAGCAATATATCTTGATTTGATCGAAATATTCCTCTATTGTATTCTCCACTCCGCGGGTGCATCTTAGTTGTTCCGAGGCTATATTTATATTATTAAGTTGTTTTTATATATTTTATCATAAATTGTGTTAAATAAAAAACAATAAAACCATAAAATTATTGTAATATTCACTAAATACGCCTGAAATATGTTAGGATTGATTAAAATATTTTGTGAGTTTTTTTTAGCCAGCATTGAATAACCAACGATATTACAAAAATATTACCGTAATACAACCAGAATATAGTAGGGCTCAATAAGGAATATATCCTGGTTTGATTGGAATATTTCTCTGTTGTATTCTCCACGCCGCGGTCGTATCTTGATTATTCCGAGGATAGATTTATAATATTAAGCTATTTTTATATATTTCATCATAAATTGTGTTAAATAAAAAGCAATAAAATCATAAAATTATTGTAATATTCATTAAATACGCCTAGAATAAGTTAGGATTGATTAAAATATTTTGCAAGTTTTTTTTAGCCAGTGTTGAATAACCAATATTCAATATTACCAAAATATTATCAAAATATTACCGCAATACAACCAAAATATAGTAGCACTCGATAAGGAATATATCCTAGTTTGATTGGAATATTCCTCTGATGTATTCTCCACTCCGCGATCGTATCTTGGTAGCTCCGAAGATATATTTATAATATTAAGTAGTTTTTTTTTATTTAATCATAAATTGTGTTAAATAAAAAACAATAAAATAATAAAATTATTGTAATATTCACTAAATGCGCCTGAAATAAGTTAGGATTGATTAAAATATTTTGCGAGTTTTTTTTAGCTAGTGTTGAATAACCAACGTTTAATATTACCAAAATATTATCACTCACAATACAACCAGTATATAGCAACGCTTGATAGAGAATATATCCTAGTTTGATTGAAATATTCCTCTGTTGTATTCTCCATGTCGCAGTCGTATCTTGGTTGTTCCGATGATAGATTTATAATATTAAGCAGTTTTTATATATTTCATCATAAATTGTGTTAAATAAAAAAATAATAAAACCATAAAATTATTGTAATATTCACTAAATATGCCTGGAATAAGTTAGGATTGATTAAAATATTTTGCGAGTTTTTGTTAGCCAGCGTTGAATAACCAACGTTCAATATTACCAAAATATTACCACAATACAACAGAATATAGTAGCGCTCGATAAGGAATATATCCTGGTTTGATTGGAATATTCCTTTGTTGTATTCTCCACTCCGCGGTCGTATCTTGGTTGTTCCGAGGATATATTGGATAAATTTATAATATTAAGCTGTTTTTATATATTTCATCATAAATTATGTTAAATAAAAAACAATAAAATCATAAAATTATTGTAATATTCACTAAATACGCCTGAAATAAGTTAGGATTGATTAAAATATTTTGCGAGTTTTTTTTAGCCAACATTGAATAAACAACGTTCAATATTATCAAAATATTACCAAAATATTACCGTAATACAACCAGAATATAGCAGTGCTCGATAAGGAATATATCTTGGTTTGATTGGAATATTTCTTTGTTGTATTCTCCACTCTGTGGTTGTATCTTTGCGTGATTGTATCTTTGTTATTCCAAGGATATATTACCATAATACAAGCAAAATATTACCAAAATATTACCATGATATTAACACAGAGCGCAACAAACCAATTAAATGAAGAAAATGTATGTACATTCTCGCCAAATGTGTAAAGTCCTTTGGATACACTGAAATTACTGGGAGGAAAAAATAAATTTCATAACAAAAAATTTGTATATAATTGATTAAAAGGGGTAGAAGACTCCCCCAGTTTCAAAGTTCAAAATATCATTCTTTATTTGGCGGGCATCCACACCACATGATGGAACTTTCTTTTCTTCCACTTTCGCACTTTTCCTCTATTTGGCATGCCGATCAAAAGGGCAACTTCATCAAGATTTATTCTCAGATCTTTACCGTCCATTTTGAATATCATTACCGCCCATTTTGAATATCATTTTTTCATGTTGCCAACATTGCAATATTTGCAGTGTCAGAACATTATCTTGGGGATAGAGTGGAAGAGCGAAAAACTGATCAACATTCATCATTTTTAGGTCATTCCTGATGTCTTCAAATATGACAGGTCTGACTTTATCTAGCACATCTCTCATTACAGACGATCAACATCTACAGCTTATGGACCTTGGGTACATAAACATACATAAAACATTACAGACGATCGACATCTACAACTTATGGACCTTGGGTACATAAACATACATAAAACAACACAATGCAAAAATAAGGTATTATAATGAAAGCGAGTTTTATTATTAAAGAAAATCAGGTATTATAATTGAAGTTATTATATTATTATTTATGTATTATTCTGGTATTATTTTGACATTATTATGGTATTATTTTGATTATTTTATTTATGTATTATCCTGGTATTATTTCAGTTGTGCAAATGAAATTCAGGGTTTATTCAATCTTCTTCATATATTACTCAGGTAATATTTCAATAATATTTAGGTAGTATTAATTAGTGTTAGTTTGATATTATTATTAAAATTTAGGTTTTATTTCGGTCTTATTCTAGTATTTTTATGGTAATATTGGGTGAACTTGTGATTTATTACTAAAAAATAATAAGTCTGACTTAAAATACTACTCAAATATTACTACAATACTACTCAAATATTACAAAAAAAGTCACTCTGACTTGAATACCTGAGTGATTTGTTACTTAAATACTACTAAAATATTATTTTAATACTATATAGATGAATTTCTTCACTCTGTTACAATATTGTCAATGAAAGTAGAACCACAAAAATAAAATTTGCCTGGATGAACCCTCTTGAATTTCCTTCTTCTTACGCTCTTTCACTTTGTTTTTCTTGCTTTTATCAACCTCTATTATCGAAACTTCTTCATTCTCTATTAACAACAACTCTTCGCTCTCCATTCTCACAGGGCTCTTTTCGGTTTTCATCTGTGTGGGCTCAGATTCCATCTTAGTAAGGAGAAATCGTGACTTTACTTCGACCGGCGAACAACAACAGAAAATCCTAGGCTTTTCTGAATTCAAAATTCTAAAAGATTGCCGAATGAAGGTGCTCTGCACTCGGACGACGTTTAGCTTTTTGATGATATGACATTTTGGTGAGAGATGCGATTTTAATTTTTATGTGTTTCGGGCTAGGCTTGGCGGTTAACAAAATAGAAATTTAATTTTTTATACTTTGGGGACCACGCGTCACAGTTGGACACCGCACGCACAGAAATTAGGGCTAGCTGAGTAGGAAACGACGGATCACCGCATAGACCACCGAAACCTCCATCTTTCTCATCCTTCATCCTTCCGCTTGGCTCCTATCAGAAACCATCAACGAAGACTGTTCGCGCTATTCTTCCTCTACGCTTGCCGCGGATTTAGTAAGTCGTCCGATTCACAGAATTTAAATCCCGGATTTACCACCAAGCGTCGTCATTTTGGGATTTACGGAGGCGTTTTTTGCCGTTTGGCAGGATTTTAGCTTAAATCCTGCGTAAATCTTGCTTAAAACTGGCTACCAAACATGTACATACGCCGAACAACCGCATTTACTGAATCCGGGATTTACACAAAAAATGGGCGAAATCTGGATTTATTAAATCCCAGACTTTAATTTGTCCAAACTGTCCGTCTGGTATGATTTAGATTAACCCTGGCTAAATTCTGCTCTAAATCCTTTATCAGACAGCCCCACCCATTGCAAATTTGCAATGGCGAGGATGAAGGCAGAATCCATGGCTGCCAGCGTGAAGAAGAAGAAGAAGGGTGGAAAGAAGCGACATCTCTTCGGACCCATGGTGGCTTCGATGAAAGCGTCGAAATCGCTTAGGCCCAATCCCTTCGAGACCATTTGGTCGCGCCGCAAGTTCGACATCCTCGGGAAGAAGAAAAGCAAAGGTGAGGAGGTCCGAATTGGCCTCTCGCGATCGCTCGCCATTGAAAAGGTCCGAACTCTTCACCCTTACGCCCACTTAAACATATTCTGATGGTTCTTGGATGCAATTTATGAACTTTTACGACAGAGGAAGAAGACCTTGATGAAGGAGTACGAAGAGTGCAGCAAGTCGGCCAAATTCATTGATCGGCGGCTAGGAGAGAAGGATGATACTCTCCTGGAATTTGATAAGGCTATCATGCGCTTGCAGCGTGAGCGTCAGGTGACAACTTTTACCAAATAACTCTTTGTTTTGGTCACAGCCAAACTTTGCTTTTTGATTCTTTTTGATTGAGGAGACTGACAATGTACTGACATGAAAGCTGCCTCGAATTCTCGTCTATGATCTTTGTAGCACTTGAGCTGTTCTTTGCTTGGGTTGCTGTGGATTTCATGACTTCTGTTCTGAACTTGTAAGATCTTATGGGTATAATGCTATGGTATATATATGGTATGCTGAACTTTCTTCAGTTGAATATTTTGTAGATTGCATCAACTTTTTCTCTTTCTCCTCTTCTACCCTCTTTTTCTCCTCTCATTTCTCTTTTCTGCTAATTTATATCCACTCTTCTTGTCTATCAACATCAAGATCTCCTAAGATTGTAAGGGACGCTCAATTCTTGGATCTCACAATAACAATTATGAAGAATAAGGTTTCAAGATCTTTTGTACTACATGATTTGCTTTAGTGACATTACTCACGTTACAACGACAACAAAATCTTTATCCCACTAAGTGAGGTCGGCTACATGAATCATTTTTCTCCATTACGTTCTAGTTAGTGTCATATTTTCATTTAAATCTAATAAATTAAGATTATTTTTTATACAAACATAAGTCGAATCTAAAACATCTATTCTAATCGGATCATCAGATGACCGAAGTTTAATGTGATGAAACCATCTAAGACGACTCTCTCTAATTTTGCCTGTCACTGGAGCTACACCAACCCTGTTACAAATATATTCATTTCGCATTTTGTCTCTAAATGTAAAGCCACTAATCCGCCTAATCATTCTCATATCGACAACACTTAACTTAGTTTTATGCTTCTCTTTTAAAGGCTAACGTTCAGCGCCATAGAGCATTGCAGGTCTCACCACTGTCTTATAAAATTTGCATTTTAGTCTAAGCAATACTTTTCTATCACACAATAAGCTCGAAACATTCCTCCACTTCAACCACCACTTCAACCAACTTCCTCCACTTCAACCAACCAACTTGAATTCTACTAATAACATCGCCATCAATATCACCATCACTTTGAACAATTAACCCCAAATGTCTAAAGCGTTTACACTTTAATAATTTGATTACCCATAGTTACATTTCTGTCACTAGAGCTACTACTACTAAAATTGCATTCCATGTATTCAGTTTTAGTTCAACTCAAATGAAGGCCTTTAAACTCCAAGGTAGAATTCCATGATTCAAGTTTTTCCTGTGCTTTTTCTCTCATCGTATCCACGAGAAGGATATCATTAGCAAAAAAACATACACCAAGTTTCATCCTCTTATAAGTGTCCAGTAAGACCATCCAAAACTAAAACTAAAAGATATGGGCTTAAAGCCGATCTCATATGTAAACCAATAGAAATAGAAAAATATTTGGTCAATCCTCCTCCTGTTCGAACACAAGTAGCAGCTCTTGTATGCATACTTTTAATGACTTGAATATACGTCACATCAACATATTTATTCTCAAGAACTCTCCAAATGATATCTCTTGTAACCTTATCGTATGCTTTTTCTAAATCAATAAAAATCATATGTAGATCCTTCTTATTATCGCCGAACTTCTCCATCAAACCTCTCAATAAATGTATAGCTTCCATAGTAGACTTGCCCGACATAAATCCAAATTAATTATGAGAAATCTTTGTAATACGTTTTAACCTATGTTCAATTACCCTCTCCCATAATTTTAAAGTATGACTCATTAACTTAATTCCTCTATAATTTGCACACTCTTGTGCATCCCTTTTATTCTTAAAAATGGGGACCAAAATACTCTTCCTCCACTCCTCAGGCATCTTTTTAGTTTTTAAAATAATATTAAAGAGTTCAGTGAACCAAGAAACTCTCAAATCTCCTAAATATTTCCACATTTCAATTGAGATATCATCAGGTTCTACAGACTCGTCATCCTTGGTTTTCTTTAAAGCCCCCTAAACTTCTTTTTACTAATGCGATGGTAAAAATGAAACACTTTATTCTTATTAACGATATTAATCTTACTAAGTTCGATCGTATTTTCTGAAACTTCATTAAAAAGTTTATCAAAATAACTCACCCACCTATTTTGAATATCTTTTTCTAAGAAGATCACTTTTTGATTTTCATCTTCAATACATTTTACTCGAATTAAATCTTTATTTTTCTTTTCTCTTTGTTTGACTAGTTTATACATATAGTTTTCATCCTCCATAGTATCTAATTTATTATAAAAATTATTAAAAATAGATTTTTTAGTATCACAGATTGTTCTCTTAGACTCCCTACAGACTGTTTGATATTTTTCTCAGTTCTCTAAGCTTCTGCACTTAAACCAATTTTTATAACATAACTTCCTATGTTTTATCTTTTTTTGCACATTATTATTCCACCACCAACTATTTTTAATTATAGAAATTTTTCTTTTGATTGTGCAAGTACTAATTTTGTGCAAGTATTAATTTTGTCACTTGTTTAATGGTGCTTCTTCATGAATATCCCAAAAATTGAAATCTTGAATTTTAATCATAAAAAAAAAATTATTTGTATCTTTGAGGTACCCCCATCTCATTCTACGATGATGATTGTATATTTGAGGTACCCCCATCTCATTCTACGATGATGATTTCTATTGTTACTTATTTTACAAATCTTCATCTTAAAATCTAGATCTAATAATTGATGTTGAGTACTTAAATCCTCACTTGGAATGGCCTTCCAGACTTTACATTCTCGATGATCTCTACTTCTTATAAGAAAATAATCAATTTGTGTTTTATTAAATCCATTCTTATAAGTAATAATATGTTCATCTCTTTTCTTAAATAAAGTATTAGCAATAATAAAATCTTACGTTAAAGAAAAATTTAATATAGCTCTGCCTTCTACATTAATCACTCTAAAACCGTAGCTACCATGAATATTTCTAAAATCTTCTACCACTCTAACGACATGTCCATTTAAATCTCCTCCAATAGAACTTCTTTTTTCAAGAGGTATCATTTGTATTATGTCTTCTAAGTCATTCCAAAATTTAACTTCAGAACTTATATCTAAACCTACTTGAGGAGCATAAGCACTTATTAATATTAAAAATCATAGTATCAACAATAATCTTAAGGGCTATAATTCTATCTCCAACTCTATTAATTTTACAGCTTTATCTTTTAAACTCTTATCTATAATTGCACCTACACCATTTCTAGTGCGACTTTTACTTGAATACCATAGTTTAAAACCTAAGTTATCAATCTTTGTAGCCTTTTCTCCAACCCTTTTAGTTTCGTGAACACATTATAGATTTAAGATTTTTATTCACTAGATTACCTAAAATTAATGTGAGCTCATATTTTGTTGAATATCTTGTTGAGATTCTGATTGGTTTTTTTGCTGAGTTGTGGAATTTTGGATGGGATCATATGGAGAATAAGATACTTCTTATTGTGTTCAGGGTGCTTAAGATCTCATAGGGCATTGCTTAGGATCATGATAAGAAATGTTTTCTTTTTTTTTTCCTTAGACACCAACATAATTGGCTGACTGAATGATACTTGGCGAACTAGCAAAAAAGTTGTGCGGTCAAATAGTTGCATAAAACCTAAAATATTTCCTTAAGCTGCAACTAGGGCTGCTAAAAGTGCTCGCTTGGAACTTGACTTTATTCAACTTGAGTTCATTTTCATTTTCACTCCACTCTCTAAATTGATTTTGAGTTTGCTTTGACTCGCTAGAATGCAGTTCTAGTCAAATAGTAATTTTACTGGAAATAAGTATTTCTAATAAATACTAGATGTACATTTATATTTATTTATATAGTTGATTAAAAATCTATTTTAAGCCAACTTTAAATCGATTTGGAGTCAATTTGAAATCAAATTTGAGTGAACTTGAAATTGATTTTTTAGGTCAACTCAACTTATTTTGCGCTGTTTTAGGAACAAATCATATGGTAGTTTGAGTTAATGAGTTTGATTTGGAGTCAAATTTGTGTTAAAAAGTCCTACAATCTCACCATCTGCAGTTGTAGCCCATCGTCCCCACCATGGTTGCTTGTTTTTTGCCGTTGTCCATGCCACCTCCTACCGTTGCTCGTTGCTCTTGGCAACCGCCCATCATTGCTGTTATTACCACTGTTCGCTGCTTACCTTTCATTGCCATTTGGTGCATTTCAATGCATTTAAAATGCATAACAGATATAAAAAAATATTCTAAAGCATTTGATTTGCATTCTACCAAATAACTTTTGTATTTCCAAAATGCATATATTCTATTTACTTTGAAATTCTAAATTAATTGCATTTAAAAGAAATCCAACTTGACAACCCCGTTGTTTCAAACAATGGTTTGATCATCAAACAGATCTTAATTTGAAGTTTTGAAGAAACAAAATATATTTTTGTTTGATATATTTACAAAACAAGAAACATTTCTTTAGTTTTATTTTAGAAATTTCAGTTAGTTTTTTTTTTTTGGGTGCAGGGTGCAAATGAATAGTTTTATCATCAGTGGTAAAAAATTAACAGCTAGGATTTTCTCTTATTGAATCACACACGACTTTTAAATAGTGGTTTAGATATGTTGGTGGTATAATTTCTGAACATTTTTCATAGAGTTCTACGAGAATGACCTCCAAAAGCTTTCAAACGATATCATAAACATTTTATACACTCACTTCCATGATGGATTGAATGAAAATATTGAAGAAGTTTGAAGGGTTCAAAATGTCATTAAAACTTTGATCATCTTTTAGTGCATAATGATCCATTTATGATGGACATTTTTTTCATAAACTGACATAAACAGTATTCAGTTTCTACATGCATGAGAAGAAATCGGCATTACAAAATGCAATTCTATCTATTTCCTCTAATTTGAAAAACCTGGACGCACTTCCTTGAAGTTCCAGACTTGGGGCATGCCATCCGAATAAGCTGTGCAAATCGCCTAGCCCCCTACAAACACAAGCCAATCATGCCTCCGCTTAAGAAGTACTTCATCATATTATATTTAGGAGCTTTTCTCTAGGAATAGAAGCCAACTCTGAAAGGAACATTTTCAATTGTTAAGTTAAGATGGAGCACAAATTTTATAAATTGCATCCTATATAGCCGAATGACAATCTCTTAAATTCATTCAAAAAATCCTGCAAGCTTCCTTTCAAAAGAAGGGGAGAATAGAATCTTGCAAGAGCAACCAATTGAAGCTAGAAGGCAGCAAAATGATGGAGAAGGGTTATGAAACCCTTTAGAACTTGAGCACATTACTGTGAAGTTCGAAAATTAAATTAGGACTACCTGGGCTGTTCTTTGATTTTACATCTTTGAAATTACTTTTAGTGATGGAACCTATGTTCTTTCTACAATAGTAAAGAGATCCTCAATAATGTAAAGTGAGAACCCCATAGGCTTTATTTTTGAAGTGCTAAATATGATTTGATATAGTATATAATTACTTATGTTACATGCAAAAAACACGTTCATGGATGGTAATGCCACTAATGAATTCTTTCATTATGTTAACCCTATAAAAATCCCTCCTTTTGTAAATTGTTTGATTTTATGATCCTTCTCTTAGTTTCTCAACTTTCCAAGACCCGAATGCTTGAAATTCCTGCAATGAGATATGTTCATAAAATTTATATTTGGAGTCTCATGTAAGCTTTGCTTCTGTCATTGTGCAGTCTAAGTTAAAACGAATGAGCAAATATAACTTGTCTGATGAGGAGGAAGATTTTACAGTTCCTCAAGCACATTTACTCTCAGAACTGGATGATTTTGATGAGCAACTGCCGCTAGATAATGATGAAGATGATGGGATTGCAGGTTTTTTTTGACTTATTGGCAATTTTCACATTTTTTGATAAAAACTAAGTTTTAAACTATCATTTGCGATCACACAATTATTAGATACGAGTAAAATGTCATAATAGTCTTCGACTATTACATGTCGTCGTTTTTGTTCCAGAGTTTATAGAATTGCCAAAACAGTCCTCGACCATTTTAAAATTGAGCTCTAATAGTCCTATATGGCCCCAATTTAAAGTGTATGGGGACTATTTTGACATTTCTATAAACTCTAGGACTAAAACAACCCCATGTAAATAGTCGGGGACCATTGTGGCACTTTACTCATTTAGACAATGTAATTTTTTCTCTAAATATTTGAAAAGTATCATGACTGTTGTTTAAAATAAATATATTCATGGCTGATGTTTCCAAACGAAGTTATGCCACTTTTGCTTAATTACAAACTTTTGATGTTTGTTTGTTCATTCTCGTCTTTACTATTTTGCTCAAGATTATTGGCAACGTCGAATTGTGAGAATTATTTGTTCTTCATATTTGTGCTTTGTTGTCGAATAACATTTGATCTCTATTGAACCTTCTTTTATCCTTACATTTGTGATTAAATTTTACATAATCAATGATGCATACGCGTAAATTTTGTTATATGTTTTCGTATGTTGTGTGATAAAGTAAATTACTGATAGCTAAGTTAAGTATTACAAAAATGAGAATAGTAAAAATGTTGTTTCGAAATGTATAGTGGATAAATTCAGATATGATTACATGAGAGGGATTGTAGGAGTAGCTTTGTTTGAATATTAGATTGTGTAGAATAAAATGTGATTTGTGCAGGTGCGGTAGTAGTAGTTTCACCAATATAAGTGATTGATAAAGAGTAAGGAGTAAGTGGGTAGACCATAGGTAAAAATAGATATAACTAGTGCAAAAAGATATACACCGTTGAGTTACAACCTCATGCATTACCCAATAGAAACAAATGGAAAATCATGATTCATTTAGTTGATCTTAAATATCTGTGATACAAAAATAGTTGGGATAAACTAATGATGGTATTGATGATAATGGGTGAACATTTTGGCTTTTAAATGGTTATATGCTTGCGTTTGAATTGTTTTTTTTTTCACAAATTTTTCATGACATGTAGAGAATTTTTTATGAAACAAGCCACAATGGCCGAGAACTTACATTTCATTAGCTCCGATTAATTGTTGCCTCTCTTTAATGGTTTTAGTGAAAATTTGATTTTTAGAGCTAATATGTGGTTGAGATGGTAGTGGAAAGAGTTATTTAGCCATTTTTGGATAATTAAGCAGTTGTCCTCTGGCACATTACACACCTATACGATGGGGGTGAATTTGGTGTTTTCAAAATTTATTTTGCACAATTAAATAATTGCATTTAAACAAAAGTGAAACATAAATTTGAAACATGCAATGCCAAAATTTAATTAATAACACTCCTAAAGAATGAGGTGGGGTAGAGATGCTTAACAATTGTGAGCATACCCAAAAAGAAGAACCCTGTTTACCAGATCATGGAGGTCCACCCGTCTGGCGTCGGTTCCTCGCATTTTGTAATTAGGCGTGCAATGGAGCACTTTATATTTATTTTGAAATCTCTCATTTCAAATTCTCATAATAAAAACTAATAAAGGCTAAAAGATATAAGCTATAATTATATACATTAGTATGCAAAACTAGAGATGCAATCAATGTAATGTGAATAAACTAATACAATAGAGCAATGTTTAAAAAGCGCTCAAGGCGTCTGCCTCGAGGTGCGCATTGATTCGAGATGTTTGAGCAACTACTCAAAGCGTAAGACTCATTGGTGTGGATGCGGCTTACAACTTTTTTGTAGTGAGGTGTATGCGTCTAGGTAAACTTCCTCAAATAGATTTGAGGCGTCACTTCAAAATAGCTAATTTTATTTAGATATTAATACCCCTGCACCCTCACACAATAACCGTATTGTGTAAATTGGGATTTAGGGATGGAGCATTGTTCTGAGAGATTTGTAGCTTCTTTCACTTTGCATCGCGTGTCTTCTCTGTCCGATATGCGCTTCATCCTGAGCCTTCGAGCGTTTTCCTAAGTGGGAGCGTCGAAGAACTGTCTTGAGCCCTTTCGCATCAAAGTCCAACCGACTTCCTCTTCTGGTCTTCCTCTGAAAGCATCCCAGCTCTTCTGATGTTTTCCCGTGCATTCAACTTACTTGAAGCCTTTAATATTTTGCTTTTACTATGACACAACATTAGTCCCAAGCGGCTCAAGTTTTGATTGAAATTTTTTTAATGATTTTATTTTAGAATTTACGAGTACGTCTTTAATAATTTATTAAATTATTATATTTATAAATAGGTTTGAATTATTTTTTTTTTCAAATATGCAACAACAACAATAATAACAACAATAACAACAACAACAACAACAACAACAAAGCCTTTAATCCCACTACGTGTGGTCAGCTACATGAATCCTTTTTCTCCATTGCGTCCTATTTAGAGTCATTTTTTCATTTAGTTCTAATAAATTAAGATAATTTTTTATACAATAAGCCCGTCTTCCTAGGTCCACCTCTACCTTTTTTAACATAAAGTTGAATCTAAAACATCTACTATCCTAATCGGATCATCAGATGGTCGACGTTTAATGTGACCAAATCATCTAAGACGACTTTATCTAATTTTTTTTGTCACTGGAGCTACACCAACCCTATCACGGGTATACTCATTTCACATTTTGTCTCTAAGCGTAAAGCCACTCATCCCCCTAATCATTCTCATCTCGGCAACACTTAACTTAGTATTATGCTTCTCTTTTAAAAGGCAACATTTAGCGCCATAAAGCATTGCAGGTATCACCACCCTCTTATAAAATTTTCCTTTCAGTCTAAGCGGTACTTTTCTATCATACAAAAGGCCAAAAGCATTCATCCATTTCAACCAACCAACTTGAATCCTACATTTTATTTTTAAATATGCAATTTCTCAAATTTTCGAAGTCACTAGGATTGGCTTTGTTCATTGATTCATTTGTACAAGTATATATTTTTTTTCTTAAATTAGAATTGGTGGTGGCGCAAGAAGAAAAAATATATATTGGAAATATGGGACTCAAGTTGAACTGTTAGTAGAAGGTGAAAAGAAGTGATATTTTACTTGAAATGTAAATTTTGTGATAAACGAATTACTGGTGGTATTAAGAGACTTAAAGACCACTTGGTTTGCAGACATGTAAATGTTGTAGCATGTGAGAAAGTGTCAGTTAAAGTAAAAAATGGAATGCTTCCTTCAATTTTTCTTAAAAAATGTTACTTCAAAATAAACAATGCAAAGAATATGAATGAGATGATTGTGAATAGTTCATATTTTGGTTCTCAATATGATGGTTCTAGCAACAAAAGTAATTTGTTTTCTTTTGATAGAGGACCTCGAGGACTAATTGGTAGATTTGTTGTGAATATGGATGAATATGAGAATATCAACTCAAACAATTTCACCTCTAACTTCTATAAAAGAATATAAAAATAATATGCATAGATATTGCGGGATATTTTTATGAGAATGAAATCTCATTTAAAGTTATTAGGAGTTCTTCATGAATCAATATACTTCATTCTGTTGGAAATTATGGGCGAGGGTTACATTTTTCTAACTTGTTTGAGCTGCGTATTCGGATGTTGAATGAGAAGGTTAAAACGATGGCAAGAATGGTTGATGAAGTGAAAATCATATGGGTTGAGATAGGAGTTACCATAATATCATATGGTTGCTTTGATGCCAGACAAAAGTATTATAAATTTTCTTCTTAACAATCTTTATGAGACGATAATTTTGAAATTTGTTGATGCATTCACATTTATAAAAGATTCATAATTGTTATTTAAAATATTTGATGAGATTGTTGAAGTTAGAGAGAGCATAGTTGTTCAAGTTATTTTAGATAATGCATGTGCTTATAAAGCTGCATGAAGGATGTTAATGGAGAAATTGAAGTATTTTTATTGAACTCCTTGTACTACTCATAGTTTTGATTTAATGCTTGAAAAATTGGGACAACTGCCGTAACATAAATCTTCATTGCTTAAAGAAGAAATAGTATGTAAATTTATTTACAATCATTCTTTGGTATTAAGTTTAATGAGGAAATTCACAGATAAAGAATTTATCTGATCACCGGTTACATTATTTGCAATGATTTATTTGACTTTACAAAGATTTAAAGAACTGCAATAACCTTTGGAGGGTATGTTTTCTTCTGAAGAATAGGATAAAATTCTTGGTAAAAATAATCACAATGAATGCAAGTGAAAAGATGATTATGAGAGATTATTTATTTTGGCGCAATGTTAGTTATGCTCTAAAGACTACAAAGCCTTTAGTGAAAGTATTACGAATGACTGATGGTGATAGGGCTCCTGCAAATGTGATTTATTTATGAAGCTATGAACAAAGAAAATGAGAAAATAACAAAAAAATTTAGGAGGAGAAGAGACAACTTACAAAGAAATTATAGGAAATCATTGATGAAAAATAGGATCGTTAGCTAAATCAACATTTAAACGCTTTTGTATATTATTTGAATTCTCAATTTTATTATGAGAATGACTTTCATGTGGATAAAGAGATTAAGATTGGTTTATATACATGCATGGATATAATTGTCCTAGGGTTTGACTATCTTAAAATCATTGATGAAGATTTTCATTTGAAGAATGGAATGTTTGGATTTAGAGCAGCTCAAGCATGCTACAAGACACGTTTACTGGGTAAATTTAATTTTTCATTAATTTTAAATATATGATTTTATCATTTATATATAAAGTTTTTATCTTAATATATATTGCTAAGTTTATTTATTCTTATGCTAGCACGTTAATGGGCACAATTTGGAGATGCATGCCTGAAGTCAAAGCATTTGCTATGAAAGTTCTTAATCCTAATTATTTAGCTTCTTCATGTGAATGTAATTAGAGTATATTCAACCAACTATATACAAAGAGAAGGAATCAAT